CTGTTTTGTAATCTGTTTTCTGCAAATATTTTTTATACCATTTTTCTTTTCGTTTCATTAAAATGATGTTTAAAAATTGTCAAGCTGAATCTCTGAATGCTCTAACAGGAAATTAAAAGAAATTTGCCTCTTTGAAGAATCTACTGTAGAGCAACTTCTGTTACATTTCTGTCTGGGTGTGACAGCAAGTATTACAGACATTTTTAAAAAATCATAATTGCAACAGTGGTTGCTGTGAACAGTGTTTCCATTAAAGCACATGGTGGCAGCTACTGTGTGTGCATAAAAAGGTTAACTGCCTAGTTAGTCTGCCCCATTGTTGATCCCTTTCAGTCTACTGGTGTTTATATTGTTTCTGTAAAGTCTGTGTGCAGGAGGGAGATAAGAGTAATCGTCACACCTTCAAAAATCAGCGATGTACTGTTGCTGAAAGGGCAGAGGTGTATTTTCTATGTCAGCTCTAAAGTTGGCTTTACCTTCTCTGTGTTGCATAAAAGGCAAGATAGCAGAACTCAGCTGGGGAAAACTGGATTTCTGATGACAAACTAGAACAATGGCTGGCTTTACTTGCTGCATGAAAGGCAAGGTGGCGGCATCCAACAAGGGTATAACTAGGGGTCTGCTGGCAGACTGGAGACACATTTTTATTTACCAATTATTCATTAGTGAATGGTTTGTAAGCTGCATAGTTGTATTTACGGTTTCTGTAAACATTAACAAAAAAATAAGGGTTGCTTTAAAAATATATAAGTGACTTACTGTATATCATACTTGCGTATCCATGTGTGCAACATCCAGTATAGTTATGCTTCAAACAACAGTTCCAGCGATTCTTATGTCTCAGTGTAATTACAGGAAGCAATAATAAATTCCTTTATTACATTTTTTTAAAACCCCTAAGGTCCTCTATGATGTGAGGAGAAACATAAGACAGCAGATTTATATGGAAGAAGTCAGAAATATCTTCAAAATTGTTTTAAAATACACTACAGGGCATGTTACTTTTTATTATAATTTGTAGCAATATTCATGATAATTAATGTACAACAATATTCCACATCATTAATTCCTGATATGAACTTTTTGTAGGAGTGTAGCTGCATAGTAATTTGCCAAGCTACACTGACATCTTTTTAGGCAAAGCTGAAGACTCATTACTCATTAAATTTTGACATGTGATTCTTAACAAACCTAAGCTCCACGCTTAGATTTACAGGTCAGAGAATAAGGCATAATCAAGTGAGCTAAGCCCAATTATGAAGCTGGCAGCAGCTCCCTTTGGGCATCCATTCCTTTAACTTCTGTTCCATGGAGAGCTCACTGGATGCTACGTTGAGTTCTCCAAAAGCACGGAGAGCTCCTGTTAACAGGCATAATGTTTTTCCTCTGCAATCTTTAACAAAAACCATATTAAAGGAAACCTGTGCTGAGAGAAACACATTGTCTGCCATTGTTGACCTCCATCTAGAGTTTCTGGCTGCCTGACTGTCTTTTGGCTTTGATGCTGTTGACTCACCGAACTGGAACGATCATGCAGCATTTTCCTAATCTACATGCTTGTTGCAGGGCAGAAACTGAGAAAGTACAAGAGCCACTGGATCAGAATAAAGCCTAACAACTACCATTTTTAGGAGAGATCATCAGTTGAGGTCTACACAGTCCTCAAAGTACAAGCTTCTTTCTGAAAAGACTAATGGTGTAGCTCTATGGCTAATTCAAGGCTTTAACGCTTTCTCAGTCACTGACTTGGAGTAAGTATGCTCTGCTATTCCTGTTGGAAGAATTCCACAAATTTGCAGCTCATATTCTTTCTAGTACCTTATGGAAGTTACAAAAGGGGAGCCAGGCAATAAATAAGCACCAGCTTCTCCAGCACAAGAACCAGGTGGGGACAGCTAGGTTGTTAGCTAAGTTGTTATTCTTTGCCCCAGGAAGGACTAGTAAGTTGTTACCCTGTGCTCCCAGGTAGGTGCAGGTATATTGTTACCCTCTATCCTCATATGGGGCATCTAAGTTGCTATCCTTTGCATTGGTACAGACTTGTAAGTTGTTACCTTCTGCCACAGTTACAGACTGGTAAGTTGTTGCCCTCTGCCCCAAGTCAGAATGAGTAAGCTGTTACCCTATTCCCCCTTGTAGAGACTGATACATTGGTAGCCTCTGCCCCTTGTATGAACATGTAAGCCATTACCATCTGCTTTCAGGTGGGAACAGATAAGTTGTTTTTTTTTTGCCCAAGTGAACAAGTAAAAGGGGCCCTTTATAATAAACCCTGCAAGTGCTCACACATTTTGGGGCACAGTTGGTGCAGTACAACACAGCACATAAGATGTCAACACATATGCCAAATGCCATCGTTTAGAATGTTCATTTGTTCTATCATAGGCATTGGGGAAACTACCTGACCAGACTGCGCAATGGTGGCCACTGACCGGCCTGCTCTAGATCAATGTCAGACCCCCTAATCCCCTAACAGAGACCATGTAACCAATGCCTTCTGACTGGTCACCTGGTTAGGTAATAATGTGACACTGGGGTCATTCATAAGCTTGTAAATACTGTACAAAGTAAGGTATTCATAAAAATAGGATTCTGCATTAAACTATAAGTCCAGTCTCAGTTCAATTTCCTAAATCAGTCTGGGCAAACCTCAACATAAAAGTTAAACTCCAGAAATCAGTACAAGTGTGTTTAATCAGTTCATGTCCGAAATGGTGCCCCTAGTTGCCATGGACTTAAGAAATTTGCACATCCTTATTATTCCTTGCACTGCCCTATTGAGTAAGTTAAATAGCTGGCAAAAGTGATCATTATATAAAGAATGAAAGTATTGAGGAGAGAAGCACAATAGCTCTTGATTAGACCTTTTTTGTAGTATATCTTTATAAGTGATTATTTCACACCTTTAAGTACTGTTAGTTCAGACTGAACACTGTGGTGACCGAGGGTGGACGTAAAGAACAAAGCACATATGCTTCCAGCAGAGCTGCAAAGCACTATGTTCTTATCTGTGCTTAATTGTGTATGATTGTGTTCTCGTTATCTGCAAAATTTCAACATTATGTTTTTATCCTTCCAACAATCCTATTTTGAGAACTCACAGGAATAAACATGTTGTACAAAATAATGACTCCCCCGTAAGAAAAAAAAAAAAAAATCAAAGTACACAAAGTTCTAAAATGTATAGCCTCATGTTATTGTAATTTTACAAAAATAATACTGCAATATGCATCAACCATTATGTACTTTTAGAAGCTGTTATAAGCTGAGGTGCTACAATAGACTGTCATAGCAACAACACTTTGCAGTGAATGGGTCACAGACAGTTTCTCTCTTCCTGCTCAAACAAATCCTTATTGTGATGGACAATATTAAAACTATGTATCACAAGCAGAATGTAATTATTAGTTTAGCACACAGATCCAGAAGTGGGAAAGTTTTATGACATACTGATGACTAGAGAGAAAGGGCCTTTTGTATATCCACTCCACAGGCAGTTGGTCTGTTCTTCTGCCACTATCCTACTTATTGGGATTAAAATGAAAAAAAAAAACTTTGTAAAAGAAATCCAGCTCACCTAGTATTCAGGCTAATTTCTCCATAGTAAGACGTCTCCATAGTAGACCCTTCCACTCAAAACAATGTCCCAGTACTTAGGGGTACCCGGCTCTTCCACATCTCCTGGTGTCTAAGAAGAGGTACTGTTGTGTGCAACCATGTGTGTTTGAGGTCTTATTTGGCTATCCTTAATCACCAGCCCCATTGAGCTAGTAATGGGGTTCATTGACATCATTACTTTTTTACTGCTGCATCCCTAACCCTAAAAAAAAAAAATGAAATTTGACAGTTTAGTAATATTAAAAGTCTGCATTAATACATTCCTGACATGTCACATTATACGAGAACATCATAACTTTTAAGAAAAGTATGTTTATCACTGAAAAGCAGTTCTTGAGCTCCAGCCGGGTGAATAAAGCTGAGGGGATGTCATTCGTCTTTGCAGGCTGAAGGAAGTATTGCCTCTCAGTGATCAGACTGTACAATTCAACTATGCAGCAAGTTACAAGGTAAAAGGATGCAGCCAGGGGCGGACTGACAACTCATGGGGCCCCCGGGCAATAGGGGATCATGGGGCCCCTGTGTCCTTGCCCAAACTCAAAAAAGCCTATGAAAAAGGTACCAGGGGCATCTCATGGGGCCCCCTACTGACTCCAGGCCCTCAGGTGGTGCCCGAGTTTCCAAATGGTCAGTCGACCCCTGGATGCAGCACAAGCTGATCTGTGTCAGACATTTGTAGTCACTGCCAAGAACCTCTCAGGCACCAGGATTCACATACATTTTTAATGTGTTAAACTAAAAAACACTGAGGGTTTGATACTATATTAAAGTGACACTAAAGCTTGTGTTTTTTTACAAAAAAAATGTCTATATACTTATCTGCTCTAATTTGTTTTGTAGAGAGCACGTAAGAGACAAATCCTTTGTCAGGTTTTTTATATTGCCATTTGTTCTCCTGACACGTAAAGTTATCTTTCCGCAGGGCACACAGAAAAGAACAAAAAAATATTTTGAATAGAATAAGGAAGGGTTAGAACTTCTTGGCAGGTTTTTGTCTGTGCATTTTTGTTCTGATGACGACCACTCTCCCCCGTTATAATAAGGGTGTCATAGGGACAGGAAGTGGGGGAAAAGCCTCCTTAATAGGGTCCAAAACATACATAAAAACCTGTCACAAATGTAACTTTTCCCCATCATATCCAGTTGAGAGTTCAAATTTCCTAATAAATTTGAGAATCATGCATGGTCATGCAAAGTTTTTTATTTGAATATAACGTGTTTTAGTTTTACATTTCTTTGGTTAGTAGTGAAGGACCTGCTTAGATTCTATTCACCAAGGGTTCAGCAAATCTATTAGGCCAAAAAAAAGCATGAGAAGCTGAGCTATGGGAAGAGGGTCTTTCATGTGGTTCCAAGGGCAACATTGAAAATACACAAATGATTTAACCACTTCCCGTCCAGCCGCTGTATATAAATGGCCGGACGGTGGCAGTGCAGGGGTGGGTTGCCATTCATAAACGACTCCTGCCATTTTGGATTGTAAGCGCTCCCTGGGAGCATGCGGCATCGCGATACGGTGCCCGCTGTGTCCGGAGGACACAGCGGAACACCGATCGCTGTACGAGACCTATGTGTGAGGTCCTGATCATGTAATCACTGATTGGCCAATCAGTTATCACATGAATAGGTGAAAGCAAAATGTCGCTTCTGACATCATAGCTTACTACGTGTGAAATCAGTGAATGATCACCGAGGTCACATGGTACAGGGCAACAGCCTTGTACCATGTGACAAGCTGTGACCAATCGAAGCTCTCACAGTATGTCTCGATGGCTGCAAGAATGCAGCCAGAGAGAAGGAGGAATTATTGCTTTTACAGCCTTTATGGGTGTAAAAGCAGTCAGTGTAAAAAAAAAAAATCTTCATCACCTCCCACAAGTAGTACAGTGTCACTACGGTGACACTGTACTGCTAGGGTGACAGTATGTTAAAAAAAAAACATAATAATAATAATATAAAAAAATAAAATAAAAATGTAAAACAAATTATAATTTTTGGTTATAAACTAATTTGGGTTATTTTTTTTTTACTAAAAAGATAACTGAATACATTTTGGCAAAGATTTATGAAGAAAGATTATTTATTTGCAAAATTATATAAGAAAAACACTTTTTTTCAAAATTTTTGGACATTTTCATTCATATAGCAAAAAAATTAAAAATCCCAGTGGTGAATAAATACCACCAAAATAAAGTTTTATCTGTCTTAAAAAAATGCAAAAATTCATTTGGGTACAGTGTTGCATGACCGCGCAATTGTCATTCTAAGTGTGACAGCACTGAAAGCTGAAAATTGGCCTGGACAGGAAGGGGGTAAAAGTGTCCGGACATGAAACATGCTTGGAGGATGCCTTAAAGCTGTACAGTGCATGGTGTAATGGAATGGGACAATTTCCCAGGAAAGTCTCAGCCACAACATGCACACAGTCTTATTAATTTCAGTTTGAAAAAAAAGGCTTTATTCAGGTAGCTTTAGCGATGGCGCCTAAAGAAGTTTTTTCATTAAATGCTAATGAGCCAAATTTTATTGTCAGATAGAAATTGACCAGCAGTTTGCTGTGTCTGTCCTTGTTCTCACTGATGCAAAATCTATCCTGCCACTGGCCAATTTATATCACATTCTCATTGAGAATTAGGAGACCACAGATGATATGGTAGGGTAAGGCCCTGTTCACACACAGCAATTTAGAATTTTGGGCAGAATTGGCACGATTTTGCCTGTGATTCCAAATGGAGCTAAAATCACAGCAAAATGTGCAATGACCATTTGGGTGCCATTCATCCTTAATGGCGCCCCAACTGCAGTGCGATTTTGTTTCCACAATTGTCATGTGACAAAATATGTAAGTAAAAACGCATAAGGCTCAGGTCCAAAATTTGGTCCCTGAATTTCTTTGCCATGACAAACACACATAGGGAAGCCTATTCAAGTGAATTGGGCTGCACTATGTAAGACACTGGGAAAAGCATTGGAATTGTAAAAAATTGTGAGTGGGAAGGTATGTTCCATTACAGGCAATGTAAACAGGGCCAAAAACTGACCAGCGGCAGGACATTTTTAATGAGGTAGAATTGGTCAAATTGTGCAAAAAGACATGACATTGATTTTCGCTTTTAGATGGAGTTCTGCCTTAATACGCTAAGCAAGATAAAGCCGTTTTGCTAATAGCAGACTCCAGCCTCAACTCCTGACATGCTTCGGTGTTTAGAAAATGATTCCATGGAGCTAATAAAGGAAATAACACAGTACTATGGTGGAAAATCTAAATGGGGGAAGTATTCCATTGTCTTCTTTTGCAAATGTGATGTTAGTGGATGATCCAACAGCAATCTTTATGTCTGTGTAATGACAAGAAGCACTTTATTAAGAATTGATGGATTTTCATTCACTAGTTTATTAAGAATAAATTGAATTTTGTTCCGTAAGTCTGCTTTTTCATCTAAAAAATCCATCAATTCTTAATAAACGTCCTTTTTGTGATCATCATTAGAAGGCCCTAGGAATAGGCTTCGCTTCAAAGACATCAGGTGTAGAGTGCTAACAGCACTGAATAAGACAGTGGAATTCTTGTTCTTACTCATAAAAATAGCCAGCTGAAGGAATATGCAGATTATACAGCATACCTATGTTATCTGTAAACAGGCTGTCACCTGAAGTGACCTGCTAGTATTGGGAACTACTTGTGACTTTAAATTAGTTCCAAGAGAACTTTAAAAAGATAAGGGCTTCAAAGATTCTCCAATAAGACTCCATTAAAATAACTTCTAAGTTGTCCTGTATTCTGAAAATCAAAACTTTCAAGGCTGGTGCATACAAGCTTCAAAAGAGAGCATCATCAAGTCCCTGTTTGGATTGTGCCCAAGCAATCCTCAGCCCTAGTTTACTACCATTCATTCTGCTTTTTGTTAAAGCACAACTCCCGCCACAATACTTTTACTTGGTTTAAAACTGCTATTATTATTATACAGGACTTATTACAATATATATTTACTGTAAAGTATATGTGTCTAGTACAGAAGTGTTCCTTAGCTTTTCCCATGTATTATAGCTCCTACTGTACTTCAGCACTAGTGTCATGTCTCTACCCCCTATGTGGCCTGTGATTGTGCATTTTGTGAATGGCCAAGCAGAGGGGGATGCAGAGAAACAACACTAGAGCTGGTGCTTCCAAGATGGAAATATAAATAGTGAAATAATTTCACGCTGGTGAAGAAGCACCCAGATAGCCTAAAGAAAACCTCTTCTTTGTACCTAAACCAACCACATGACAAACCACCAATAACATTTCAGAAAACCTGCGGTACAGACAGTCCAATCAACTCTGGTTTCAGCACCTATGCATGTAGTTCTCAGATCACCAGCTAAAACAGTGTAACGTAGTAGAAAATATGGTTGCAAGCAAGAACTGTAATTCTACTGACACATTTGATCATGGGTCAAGGGAAGCATACTGAAGGTATTACTTAAAATATTGTTATTCTTCAATCTCAACAAAAAAGACAAGAGGATATGCATACTGTATGTATTTGAGAGAAAGGAGATTTATTTGTCAGGTCCAAAAAAAAAGTTTTTTTGTTTTTTTTTTTTACTCTAGGAGATACTAAAATGTACAATAGTCTTCCACAGGAGCAGGTTCTAGCAAAAATTGTTGATTTTCAATGAAGGTTTCCATTGATCTAGGTCATGATAAATACAGTGGTAGTAAATTAAAAACAACTTGATGTCAATTATACTTGACAATGTGTCATGAACCTGGTGAAACTCAAAGTGAAACATGAGGTACACCCCTATGTCCCTAGCTGGCACAGTGACTGCTGAGATGTGGGACAGAGCATATGTACAGTGCAGAGGCGGACTGACCATTTGGAAACTCAGGCACTGCCTGAGGGCCCGGGGTCAGTAGGGGGCCCCATGAGATACCCCTGGTACCTTTTTCATAGGCTTTTTTGAGTTTGGGCAAGGACACAGGGGCCCCATGATCCCCTATTGCCAGGGGGCCCCATGAGTTGTCAGTCTGCCCCTATTCTTGCCATAAGATCCCTGGGACCCTTAAAAACCACCTTAATTTCATATTTCCTATTGACCTCAATGAACTTCACAATACTTGGGAAAATGTACTAAAACCTACAAACTTTCACAGACGTATTAAGGAAATGTAGACTTTTAGTTCTGTTCATCCTGAGTAAAAAAGATTGCGAGGAAGCCAAGGTCTAATTAGGCAGCAGAGGATTAGTGATCAGAAGACCAGCTAAAGTTAGTAAGGGTATTAAAGGGATGTGATCACAAAGCATGTTGGGGTAAGCAACAAAGGTCATGTCGGGAAAGACGGAATTTGTAATGCATCATTTATAATGGAAGTAAGTTTATCTGACTAGCATCAGAATGTGTACATGCGACTGGAATCCACTTGTGTTTTTTATGCAGCATACAGTACATGATACAAACGCATTTGTGCCCACACACACAATGATAGGAATGTTGTTTGTGGAGCATAGGTTGCATAACAAAGTGGTTTCCTCAGTTAATCTGATAGAAGAAAAATCCCCAGAATTTGAACCCTTACAAGTAGCATAATCACCATAATTCAATTACCATAATGTCATACATGAGGAAAGTGTTGGCTGGAGTACAAAACTCAGTCACACCTTCAGCTAGGTCTACATGGGTCATTTTAATCTCTTACTACTGAGAGATTTAACTGCTTGTTGGCAGGCATCTCAATTGTAGCACCCTGGAAATATCTTACAATCTTCAACAGTGCACTGTAATATTTTTAGTTCATGTGATCTGGAGTGGTTTGAATCCTAAAGTGGCAAGTCAATTTATGCGCAGACATGTCTTTTTTAACCTGTATAATTATTTTGGGAAAATCCTCTCGTTTGATAAAATTGCATGCATAAAATCTGCTGACATAAAGTTCTCATGTGAAATTACACATATTTCAGGGAATATTCTCTCAATGACAAATTTGAAAATATTAAATATTAGCAGAAAAAAAACACTGGAGCTAGCCAAAAAGAACTTGCTTAACCCCTTTATGTATAAAGCAAAACTGTTAACCAAAAGAACTAGTGTGCACAGAGTTTTACACTAGATGGGCAAACATATGTGGACACCTCTTCATATTTTTAAATTCAGATGTTTTCATTGAAAGGTACTATTTAACCACTTCCAGTCCAGATACTTTTACCCTTTTCCTGTCCTGGCCAATTTTAAGCTTTCAGCGCTGTCACACTTTGAATGACAATTGCGCGGTCATGTAACACTGTACCCATATGATTTTTTTGAGACCAATAAAACTTTATTTTGGTGGTATTTATTCACCAATTTTGCTAATAAATAATCTTTCTTCATAAATCTTGCCCAAAATGTATTCAGCTATCTTTTTAGTAAAAAAAAAAAATAACCCAAATTAGTTTATAACCAAAAATTAAATTTTTTTCAGTGTCATAGTGTCACTGTACTACTTGTGGGTGTGATATTGTTTTTTTTTTTTTTTAACACTGATTGCTTTTACACCCATAAAGGCTAAAAGGAATAATTTCTCTTTCTCTCTGACTGCATTTTTTGCAGCCATTGAGAAATACTGTGAGAGCTGTGATTGGTCTCAGCTTGTTACATGGTACAAGGCTGTTGTGAATAGCCTTGTACCATGTGACCTCTGTGATCATTCAGATTTCACACGTAGTAAGCAATGTCAGAAGTGACATCTGGCTTACTACTATTCATGTGATCACTAATTGGCCAGTCAGTGATCACATGATCGGGACCTCACACAGAAGTCCCGGTGTGCTGCTTACTCCCAGGGAGCATGCACAGGCTAAAATGCTCTCGTCCAGCCGTTTATATACATGGGCCGGACAAGAAGTGGTTAAACTGCACCCTATGATGACATTTTAGACAACTGTCCACTTCCAACCTTGTTGTGGCAACAGTTTGGGGAAATCTCTTTTCAGTTCCAGCATGGTCGTGCTCCAAAAAGACACTGTATAATGAGCTTGGCGTGGAGAAAAACATAATTGGTATGGTTGAGATCTGACTTTAACTATACTGAACATCTTTGAGATGAATTAGAACCACATCAATACCTGACCTTGCAAATGTTATTTTGGCTAAATTTGCACAAATTATAAAAAGAAGCCTTCCCAGAAGAATGGAAGGTGTCCCTGATTATGGAATGGTATGTCCAACAAGCTTATATAAGTGTCCAACGCACAGTAAACACATGGAAAATGCATTCTGAAATGCCTGTGTATACTTGCCTAAATGAGATCTTTGCCTTATCACCAACTAAAAAACATGGGAGAGACAGAAATCTCCATTTTTGAAGCCATGATACTGTAACAGCATTGTCTTCTGTGGATCTTAATTGTGACACCCAAATAGTTAATGTTCTCTAGTCTGCGGAAACAGGTTGTCATTATCAGCTAATATCAGAGGAGTAATCAAACCCAATTGGCTTTGTGCTCAGCTAATAATACAATGCATCTAATTAAAACTTAGCATTTATTTAATTAAAGATAACATTTGTGATGGCCCCATTCTTTTCCATTAATAAAAATGTAACTCTGTGACAGAATATATAGATCCATATGATGCTGCCATTTGTGTATCACCCCAGGGAAAAGATATATTGTGTACTATAAATCTGCTTGGTATCAGGTATTAAATATGTATAAATGCCTTATGTCAGTCTTTACACAGCAAATAGCCTAGAAGAACTGTTTTACAAGTAGTGCCTCAGCACACACTAAATAAAACCTCCCTCCTCATAAAATGGGATGGTTTATAAGTGTACCGAAAAGGTTATATCCATTGCAGTAAGCCTACACCTCCCCATGCAACACTAAAGCCCTGGTGTACTGTAGTAAGGTAATCAGTCCTATTGCTAAGAAACACTTAAGACTTCCCAGCTTCATATTAATGCACCATTAAAGCAAAACTAAAATAAAACATATACATTAGTAGCCCATTAAAAGTTATAATAAAAAAGGTTTTACTGCAATACTCACCCTTAATCCAGAGCTGTCCCCCACAGCATTTGTTATCTGCCACCAGATGTCCCTCCGCTTTAACCACTTGAGCTCCGGAAGGCTTTACCTCCTTCATGACCAGGCCATTTTTTGCTGTTCGGCGCTGGCAATTGTGCGGTCATGCCACGCTGTGCACAAATGAAATGTATATAATTTTTTCACACAAATAGAGCTTTCTTTTGGTGGTATTTTATCACCACTGTTTTGTTTTTTATTATATAAACAAAAAAAGACAGATTTTTTTTGTGGGAAAAAAAAGATAATTTCTACTTTCTGTTATAAAACATATCCAAAAGAAAAGAAAAAAAAAATATTTTTTTTTCACAAATATAGTCCAAAATGTATTCTGCTACGTCTTTGGTAAAAACAAATCGCAATAAGTGTATATAATTGGTTTGTGTGAAAGTCAGCATCTACAATTGATGGTATATATACTGGAATTTAGGAAGCTATGACGCTGTACTGGTAATGGCAGTGATCAGCAACTTAAAGTGGAATAGTGTGGCAGGTAACCTGGTGCTGGCTGGGAGGTACACTGACTAACTGACACTGACATCAATAGTGACACTAATACAGTGATCAGTGCTAATACTGTACACTGTCACTTTACTAATGACACTGACTGGGAAGAGGTTAACATCTAGAGTTAATTAAGTGGTTAATTGTGTGCCTAACAGTGTGTACCAGGGGCGGACTCACAACTCATGGGGCCCCTGGGCAATAGGGGATCATGGGGCCCCTGTGTCCTTGCCCAAACTCAAAAAAGCCTATGAAAAAGGTACCAGGGGCATCTCATGAGGCCCCCCAACTGACCCCGGGCCCTCGGGCAGTGCCCGAGTTTCCACATGGTCAGTCCGCCCCTGGTGTGTACTGTGTGTAATATGTGCTGTTTTTACTTGCAGTTTTGCTACTTTTTGCTCCCTGCTTTTCAGGGAGAAGAAACAGCAAGTTCACTTTTCTGTTTACACAGAGTCGTGTGTGTTTGTGTGTTTGTCAGTTCTGGACTGTGATTGGATTTAGCAGGTTTCAGCCAAAATCACTGGCTGAAACCTGTTGAAAAATCGTGCTGTGTCCATGTACTATATATTTGAATGAACCTGCCCATTAACCCCCCTGGTAATATTCCTGAGTGTAGCTCGGGGTAAAGTTTCAGCACCACAAGCGGTAACCCCGAGCTACACTCGGGAATACCTTGCAGCATTGCTCAGGGATCCTTTCTGCACTTACCTTGTCCTGTGCTCCTGATGTCCCTCCTGCAGTGTCCCCTGCAATGTCCTCCGGCCGATGCCGGCATCTGTCTTCTGGGTTCCGTTCCCTGCGACGTCGGGACGTATGGGGACGTAAACGGCGGGAAATTTAAAAATGTCAAAAAGTGACATTCACTAAATACACTAAAATCACATAGTAAAACATTACTGTATCAAACCATTTCACATACATTTTGTCCCTAGTGCTTTGTCCTGTGCCCTGCCTGCATTTTTACCGTTCTATCTGCCTGGAATCTGAGAAACGTCCATGGTGTCCAAAAAGTGTCCTTTTAGGTCAAAAGTGGTTTTAGACCAGCTAGAGAACAGCGATAGTAAATTAGAACCACTTGCAGAATTGAGTGATAATGATTCGTGGGGAAATTCATCATCAGACACTGAAAATTATTTTGCGACTTTGCTCAGTGATGTGCGAACCTGGCGCTATATTTCAAATTTCAGTGTTTTTGGTTTGATTATATTATTGAATTACATATTATTATTATATTATTATTTTTTATGATTATTTATTAAATTATAAATTTATGATTTCGGGTTTCAAATTTTAACATACCCGGGATGTTTACTAGACTCTTGTTCGGACAGATTTCAGTGAGTTATTCCTAAAAATTACAGGCCTACAATAAAAAGACAACATATTTCCATGCAAAAAAAAATGTACCGCTTTGAGCACAGAAATACTGACATAATCAGACCGCTAGAGAGGTTAAGCCACCTGTCTATCCCCAGTAATTGTACTGTTGCAAGGCAAAAAGAGGTTACAAATGGCCAGCATCATTCAAGTCACTTTTTTCTGAGCCCAGGCTACTGTTCTGATGAGCTTTCTCAGAAACTTTGTTTTCTCCTTCCATCTGCATGTTCTTTGTCAGCCCATGAGCTGATTGGCTCCTTAAGGTACTGCTTGCATTAAAAAAATTACTGATGTATTAAAATGGTTCGAAAAGCAGAAGGTTTTTTACCTTAATGCATTCTATGCAGTAAAGTGTTACTAAACCCAGGACTCTGCATTCACGATATCTGGTCTCCCACAGTACACAGAACATGGAAATGTAATTATTTTAGTAACTATAAACTGCTAAATACCTTTTCTCATCAGCCTTTTCTCATCATAGAGCAGTCTTTTGACTTCAACAGAGCTCTGGTTAAAGCTTGTAGGAGTTTTCTTTCTGCTCTAGGAGGATGCAAAAGTCCTAACTCTCTGTCTGGACAGTGCTGATTGGTCCTGTGCTGATCACATGCACCCTCCCAAGAAAAAAAAAACTCCAGCAATACACACCAAACTGAGCATGACCATGGTTTCAGTCTGTATCAGGTGGACATTTTAACAAGAGGAGAGGCAGAGAAGAAAGGATCAAACAGCCTTTTTACACAATGCAGAGGATTAACCCCTTAGGTTCCACAGTGAGTATAACAAGTATGCTTTACTGCATATACAGAATGATTTTACTGTTGTGTGTTTAGTAACACTTTAAGGTAAAAAATCTTCTGTGTACAGGTCCCCATCCAGCCCCCTAAATACTTACCTGAGCCCGATCTCGATCCAGAGATGTGCACAAGAACAGCAGTTCTCTCAGCTCTCTCTTCATTGGACAGAGAGGCAGCAGCAGAAGTCATTTGCTTCTGCTGCTGTCAATCACAGCCAGGGAGAAGACTGGGGAGCAGGGCCGAACCACGCTATGTGTGTCAATAGACACACAGAGCCGCCTTGGGAGCGAACACACACAAGTGCCTCCATAGCAAGCAGCTTTCTATGAAGGCACTTGGCGGTGGGGGGGGGGGGGGGGGAGTCCAGAAGCGCCAATGTGGGGACCTCAGCAGAGGAGAATCAGGGCTGCTCTGTTCAAAACAGAGCAGGTAAGTATGACATGTTTTGTTGTTAAAAAAAATTGCCTAATATTCACATTTTCTCTGATGCATACCTGCTAATTATTTTTAAATAATATTTAACGGAGTGTTTTCAAGATGTACTTCAATTTGAATGGAATGCAGCAGGGGTTGGTTCTCTGCAGAGTCTTTGGTATAGAGGACTCTGGTTAGGAGATTTCTGATCATTAGCACTACCCTCATAAGGGCCGCTGGATTAGGTTTGAGTCCCCCTATGCTCTGCACAGCCGGGCAACACACATTTTCCACACTTGTACCTTTAGCATCAGTAAACAGTCCTTGAGCTGGTTTTTGTAGTTGTCCCTTTACGGAACACTGTCCCCTGCTAGGGGACCAAGGTCCCTCAAACATGCAGATCTGGGCTTCCTCCCCTCCTCCACCCTCTTCCAGAAAGTTCTCCAGTTTCTGGAAAGGTGGGAGGGCTCCAGAAGTCCTGACCTGAGGAACCTTCCAGCCTGTCCTAAGGTGAACTCCTGCCTCACTCCCAGGCTGACTCATCCCAGGCTGCTGCTCAGTTGCTATCTAAAAAACAACAGACCTAGCTAACCTAGAAGGAATTACACTTATGTGCCAGGCCAACCTCAGCTTTTTTGTCTAAGCTGTTGCAGTAATTACTCAAAGTCAAGTTTATGAAAGTTTTGGAACTGTAGCTTTAAAGCAGATGTA